GTCTTCTGACCACCCTAAGCAACAATGCAAGCACATCCGGGATGCGGGTCTCACACTCGAAATGCAAAATGTTGCTTCAAGATTGGGTTGCATCGGCACCTGAACAAGTGATAAGGAGTGAAGTAGTCGAACGTGAAGAGCGCCTCACTTATCTGGGGAGTCTCATCAGTGCTGATGGCCTGTGACTGACGAAATCTCAGCACGGATACAGAAGGCTCGATTTGCATTTGCCAACCTGCGTCACTGATAGCGCAGGGGAGATATCCGCTTGTTAATCAAACGACGAGTGCACTGTGCAGCAGTTCACTCCGTCGTACTATACGGATGCGAAACATGGACGTTAAGAGTATAGTAAATGTGTAGGTTACTAGTCTTCGATCATAGGTGTATCCGAACCATTGCTCGTGCATCTCGGGATGACCGAGTAAGCAATGCTATCGTTAGGAAACTAGTTCTAGGTAGGGATGGCAAATCAATAGATGAAACATTGAAACTTCATCAGTTGAGGTGGTTGGGACATGTGTTGCGTATGCCCAACCACCGACTGCCGCGACGAGCTACGTTTTGTGGTGAAGAGTAGGTTGGAGAAAAGTTAAGGGAGACCAAACCAAAACATGGCAGAAATCCATGAAGTCACTGACAAGTGAACTCAGTCATGCTCGTAGAAGTAGGCTATCTGGTTGGGGTCCTTGAATGACATGGCTGAGAATCGTTTACAATAGCGCAGGTGCATCCACACTTTGCGTGCTTTAGTTTTAATTGTAACCTTCTGAATTCCTCATAATCTCTATCTTTCTCCTTCTGAATTTATCTCACTGAATTATACTTTTTGAAACATATCTTCGGTCGTTAGTCTTCTCCATTACTGCTAATAATTTTACTATCGCTATCACTGTTGGATTTGAACTGACAGTTATGCCTCTGTGCTGATGCCGTATTGCAACCTGAACTGATGTCCATATGTACGAAGTTCTGTATTGTATCTCTCTGTTTGTGCTTCTGATATGGTAGCCTACAGTCTAGAATCCATTTAAAAAAATAACAACAGCGGTAAGACCTCAGGCCCTTCCTTAAATGAACACAAGAATCTTCACGAATAAGCCGAACTCACCGAGCACAAAACCGATTAAACAGGCGACCCGAACCAATACACCGACGAAATTGCTGGTTGTTGCAAACTCTCCACTATATGTTAATACCACGAAGCGGTGGGTAAGTGTAAGAAGGGGGAACAGCAGCACCAAAGCTCGAAAAACGCTATAAATCAGGCACAGGGACGTTGGACGAAAGTCAATAATTTTATTCAATGTACCAGTGTCGGAGGGTAGCTTATTGGAAAGTGTAGCTGCCTTTAGTAAAGAACAGTGGGAAAAGTACTGCGCAATTCCTGGTAAAAGGCCCAATGAAAATTCAGACGAGGATAAGGTTATTTCTAAGAGCATGTCCGTAATAAAATTAAACAATAATGGAGAGAGTGGACATGCCTAACGGACACCACTTGAAGTGAAGGATTCCGGTGACAGTTCGACATAAGCTGTCAATCGACCAGTGGTGTTCGAGTAGAGAGCTTGGAATTCCAAAAGATTTGGAAGAACATGCTTATATGCTGATGAGCTGAGAATAGTATACAGCTAAAAGCCTGAAGATCTGGACGAAAATATAGCTAACATTCAGAGTGATCTTGATATCTTAACGAACTAAAGCGAAACATGGCAGCTGCCGTTTAACCACTGCGCAATTCTCGGAATGAGCAGTATTCCAGTCGAATTATGCCGTCTGGTAAGGGGATAGAACTTCGCTAAAAGGAAATCCTTTCTGTTGAGGGTAACCTTTGACTCGGCACGAGTCACCGAGTCACGCACATGACGTGGAACAATGGCAATGGCTAGTGATTAGCACGGGTCTTCAATAAGAGGATTACGGGTAAACCATCGGAAATCAAATCTCAAATGGATCTGAGGATCATAATCCTAACTGAGACATGGCTACTCCCCGACATCGCAGTAAGTAAGCTTGTAAGGCATGAAACACTTCCGATGCGATAGAGTACACCAAACAGGAGGCGGAGTAGCTGTATATATTAGCAGCTATTTCAGAGCCGAAAGACTACATGGCACCCGACGAACTGCTATGACTGCTGGTGTCACTTCAACAGAAATGGTAAAAATGTGCTCTATTCGAGGGGTTTATTGGCTCCTTCAAGTACTAAGGCCCAGAGAGATAAATTGACTGAGGCAATGCTACAACTGCCTATCCTCGGGTTTGACCGAATAGTTGCAGATTTTAACACTCCATCTCTAACTCTCAGCAAACAGGGTACAACTCCCACTGATTGGTTCCAAATGTGACTTGGCTCAGCCACCAAACGTTCCGCACTAAAGGTGGAAAATCCTCAAGCTTGGGTTATTTGTTAACATGTGACCAGCTCCTGTGCGATGATGTTCGTGTCCATACACCAACAGGAAGTAGTGACCATGGCAATGAGAATGGTGGAGACTAATAGTAGATGGTCACTATCAAACAGTAAGAGACGTCATCCAGAATGCTGTCCTAAATAATGTACCTTGGGCACATCACACACCGGGAACGAGGAGAATTTGGGTTGAACGAAGCACTAAACGCTTGTTGCAGACGAAAAGGAAAGCCTGGCACAAGTGGAAGGTCTCGCTAAAAGATTCCGTCCGCAATTCTTGCTTAGCATTGAGGAACAGATGCAATGCCAAGGTTCGAAGTGATAGTAGACACTTTCAGATAAAGCTAGCTGAAAAAATAAAAGCAAACCCAAAATATCTGCTTAAATCCGTGACTAAATGGAGTGTTTTGTGCCATCAAAGGCCCGAATGGCGAAGATCTTACTAACCTAGAGAAAGTCTGGGATCTTCAACACCAACTTCATCGATCAGTTAAATCAATTATCGGTACGTTCAGAGCACTACTCAAGTCTAGTGCCAACTGACGGTCTATCGAATATCCTACTTACTCCTGACTTAGTAATAAGAAAACTGAAATTCTTGATCTCAGGAAAGTCACCGAGATGAGGCAATATTCACCCTACAGTTTTTAGAAAGTGTACAGCAGCCCTCAGTTCACCGGCATATGACATGTTGAGGCTTTCACTGGAGTCACACTAACTCCCAACTGAATGGAAACAAGCAACTCTCTTTCCAATCTTCAAAGGAGGAGATAGGAAGGATCCAGCCTGTCACAGACGAGCCTCATTACTACCAACGCTGTAGAAGGTAATGGAAAGAATGTCCGATTAGCAAACGAGGGAGTACATGGATAAGAACAAAATTCTCTGTGAAGCTCAACGCGGGTTGTGGAAAGACAGGTCATGTGCATCCAATCTTCTCATAGCATGGGACAGTTGGATAACCTGCTTAGCTTCAAAAGGACTTTTCACCTATTAAGGAATAATCAGTGGAAAACGGGTTAAAACTAAGCTAATAGAAATGTCATGTTATAAACACTTTGACAAACGCGAGACAAACGACTTACACCCTCAGTAGAAGTTCATTCCCTACTGTCTCCTCGGAGGGCGATCTCGGTTTGATAACCACGGAAGGCACAGACATCCAGGTCCGTGCACACTTCTCAATAAGGGTTGTTGCAAATTGGAATGCTCTATCTGCTCTGTCATAGCTGCTTTAGTAGATAGCCTTAGGAGGATACTCGACAAACACGTACTCACATACGAATTATCATCTCCCTTGCGAACTAACTGTGCCTGATGCATGTCTTGAAACCTGCCAGTCGTTATTATTACCATCTCCTCACATCACTAACCTAATCTATCTCGCTCATTATTTCTGTTTCTTTCCCCTCGTTTACACTTCGGTCCTCTCGCCCTACCTTCACTACTAATCAATTTACTTATTTATTTACATTGCTCTGGAATTTTCCGTTTCTTATTGGCATGAGAATTGTATTTTTTGTTCGCTACACTGCAACTAACTAACATCCGACCCGGTGATATGACAGCTGCTAGCATCCAGAAGTGTGCCTTCTCTATTGTTTTCGATTCCGCTCAGCACCTTCCTGAACATCGCATTATCACACTGGAAAGCAGTTAAATCACTGTCTTCATTCACAAGAACCAACACATGTTTTCTGTTTCAACAAAATTTTCCACACCTGGAGCTTCACAACGTCATCGCACCTCTTCCTCTTAAAAGAGACATTAATCTCTTGGATCGAGTGCAGAGACGAGCAACGAAATGGGTGATAGGGTTGAAAAATAAACCCTACGGCGACAGACTTCATCTCTTAGGATTATTCCCACTGAGCTACAGGAAAATCAGAGGTGATCTGATTATGGCGTACACCATATTAAACACGCCAAACCATCCCAGTGTGAGCATCCTACCGATGCATCACCACCACTCCCCTCGAGGCAATCCTCAAAAGATTGCACATCAAAGAGCAAATACTCAGATTCTTGCACACTTTTTCTCATTGCGAGTCGTCGCAACTTGGAATGCTCCCCCAACCGAGGTAGTTTCAGCCCCCTCAGTGGACTGCTTTGAGAAGAGACTTGATAATCACGTACTCACATACGGACTATCATCTCCCTCTTGGACAAGCTGTGCCTGATGCATATCTTGAGACCTGCTAGTTGTTACCATTGCCATCTCCTCAGATTACTCAATCAATCTATCTCGCTCATAAACTCTGTTTCCTCTCCCTTGCTTACACTTCTGTCCTCTCTCACAATCTTCACTACAAATTAATAAACTAAATTCATCTATATATTACTCAGTTCTGAAATTTTATTCATATTATCATTAGAATTTTATCCTTATCAATCTTTTTACTCTCCACATTGCAACTAACTGACCTTCGGTCTGGTAATGTGACGGCTGCTAGTATCCAGAAACCCTACTGCCCTGAAACCAAAGTTTCATTCAAATCCCGAGACATACAAACTCACAATCAACTGCCAACTGACTAGAATTAGATTGTCTAGTGGCTAGACCTCCATCCACTGGACATCACCGAACACCTGGCACCGTACCGAAAGAGCAAGAATCGAGCGCGAAGAAACCAAGTAGGTTTACACTAGCACGTGAAAAAGATATTGGATATATTGGATATTGGAGTTGTGAGCGGAATTTTCAAATCAGAGGTCACGGTGATGTCACTGGATCCAAAGTACGCCGACTTGCCATGGATCGTGAGCTAATTATATCTTAAAAGTCATCACTGAATTTAGGCTCACGGACAGCCAGATGTTTACGAAGCTGGAGAACTTCCAGAAGCAGATCAAAATATAAAGGTGAGATATTGTTCATTTTAATGTTGTTAAAGGAAACTGTTGAAGATACAATGACGGCTAAAGAGATCGAGGTTGTTAAACTGTCGGTTCCAGAAGCACATAGACGTTTTGCAGGTTGCAAGCTTGATGCTTCAAAAGTTGGTCAGTTTCTCGATGATACATAAAAACCCTCGTTGGTTAGACTTTTCTGACTGCATTTCTGGTAATGGTAGGATTGGATATACAATAGAAAAAGATCAATACGATTTCGTAAGTCTCACAACTTATTTCTATTATCCAGTTTTCTGCCGAATCAAGGGATAAGGAATCACTTGTGAACAGATTCCAGCGTCTCCAAACTGAAACACACCAGTTAATTAGTGATATACAAGCTGTATCAGATCAAAATAATCTTGACCCAAAGGAACCCCTTTCCACTGCCCAGTTGCTTTCATGTGCGGAGGCGTTATCTGAAAAGCTATCGATAATAAATCCAACAGAATTACCTACAGTATGCTTGGACCCATTGGATACTTTTGGGCAAACGTTGCATAGGTAATATTACCATATGTAACAAAACAATCTACTTAATACACCTTTATTTTTTTATCGAATCAGCTCAAAAGTGACGAATTGACACTGGGTAAACTGCTATCTTAAATGTACAAGCTATTTTTGACGTTAATAAACGTTAACGTTTGTGCAAATAATGAATAGTAAAACATGATATTTAAGATGTATACTCTCCATTGCTTAGACGTTAGATTCTCTTAGTTTTCCTCTACTGTCACTGTTGAATTTATTCACCAATTAATGACAGTATCCATGGTGAAGTAACTTTTGGTGCTATAGTTGGTAAACACTGTGGTGATTGTTCAAAGAGCTCATTGATTTCTGTAACTCCCCTTTGCAGTCATTTAAACGCTGTCATATTAAATGCATGTAACCTAACTCTCTTTGTAGAGTACATTTTCGACACTAGCTTCTGATCCTTAGTTTTCAAAGTAGTATTCGTTTCCGTTTAGATGTTTTTCCGGACCTTTCAGTGAACATACAATTAGACTTATGTATCACAAAAATCCGGCTGAAAGATTAGTTCTTTGGTTAATGGAATACTAAAGAACTACCAGTATATTAATTTAGCAATCAGGCTTTGATTCAGTTTTTCACGAGGTTGAACTATGCCTCTAAGTAATGTACTTATAAAATGAATATCGGCCATCGCCTAATACTTAAACTTGTGCACCGGTACTAAGTTGCATCACACTAATAAACTATGGATTGAAACTATGTTAGTTCTTAAAAACATAAACCAATTTCTTAGAGCTTTAATGTGTGGGCTTACAATAATTAGAATAAATCCAAATAGATGGCTGCCAAATGCTCAGTTTGAAATGATTAAAATCTTCAAGTTTTTTTCAGACTATACTGGTTACCTTTGATAGCACGAGTGATACCAGTAACATCGTGCTAGTTATAGTTACCATAATAGCGTGTACACAAGTAGTGTATTCGGAAGCGTTTGCATACTATACATTTAACCACAGATTTGTATATGATGGGTCAGAATGATGAGAACTGGCGAAATGCTATTGTTCTTTGATATATGGTTTTGAAGAAACTCAAAATTTCTCCTATGATCCTAAATCCAGTGATGACTTTTAAGATATAATTAGCTCACAATCCATGGCAAGTCGGCGTACTTTGGATCCAGTGACATCACCGTGACCTCTGATTTGAAAATTCCGCTCACAACTAGGAAATTTTGTTGAAACGGAAAACATGTGTTGGTTCTTGTGAATGAAGACAGTGATTTAACTGCTTTCCAGTGTGATAATGAGATGTTCAGGAAGGTGCTGAGCGGAATCGAAAACAATAGAGAAGGCACACTTCTGGATGCTAGCAGCTGTCATATCACCGGGTCGGATGTTAGTTAGTTGCAGTGTAGCGAACAAAAAATACAATTCTCATGCCAATAAGAAACGGAAAATTCCAGAGCAATGTAAATAAATAAGTAAATTGATTAGTAGTGAAGGTAGGGCGAGAGGACCGAAGTGTAAACGAGGGGAAAGAAACAGAAATAATGAGCGAGATAGGTTAGGTTAGTGATCTGAGGAGATGGTAATAATAACGACTGGCAGGTTTCAAGACATGCATCAGGCACAGCTGGTCCACCTTTTCTACGATGATTTGTATTGACAACTCTACTGTTGGATAACAGCTTAAACTGATGTCGCTATGTACGGAGTTCTACATCTCGGCTAAATGACTGACTGATTACGAGTTTAAGTTTCATCCAACCAATTCATTTTTGTACGAATACAGAAATATAAGTGCATCATTGGACCCCTCGTTATTACCTAATTGATACTACTCTCGATAATGAATAGAATTTATTGATTATTTTAAACCTGGATATGTACCTATCTTTTGATTTCTAGTAAAATTTTAAGACAGATTGACGAGTTCAAACCGGACAAACAAGCTTCTAGAAGTGCAGATAAATCGGATCATTTAATCTACGAAATTTACGATCGAAAGAGCTCTGTCCAGCAATCCGATGGTGAAAAAGTAAGTATCTGTGCAGGCTCCTCGTGTTGCTCACTGATAATAGTTATTAAAAACCATTTAAATTATAATTTGATGAGTATTAATTATTGATCTTCCGGATATTTTTGAACAAAAACAATCATTTTTAATAGCGAATAGTAATTAGAGTCAATTATCTCTGATATCGAACAAGTGATTGTCAAGTAAACTGTTGTAACGCTTGGTTAGATAATTCCTAGCTCAATCCAATTGCTTAGTATTATCTGACCACTTTACACTGGACAAGTTCCAAAGAATTAAAAACACGGTGGAGCAGGAAAAGATTTTATTCCAAACAGCAAGGTTAAATGGAAATAAGAAGCCGAAGGCAAAATAGATACAATGTTAGTATCTTTATAGTCTTTACATGAGAAGCTTCTGGATTGTAATTTACGTGATCGACTGGATTAGATTCAGCCAATCAACATGCAACTAACAACACGAGAATTTTCTACCTTGTTCTCCAAGAATCGATCAGGCGCTGATTGGATAGGAAATTAGCCAATCAGCGCGCAGCAACGTAGTCATGCTTCAATTCCATCTATGTCCCACTAATATAAACCATGTCACTACCAACGACTATCAGGGGTAATTCACATTGTGTAGTGGTTCAGGCACGCAACTTTAAAAGTGTTTAGTTTCATGATGTACCTAATTTATTGAGTACTGTTTTGCATAACCATATTTAAGCCACATTTCCTGTATTAGGACTATGATATTAACAAACGAAATTATTTAAAGTGAGTTGCAAACTGGACAACTACGTTTTGTATGCTAAGCTATTGCTATGCAGTTTGTAAATCAGTGCGGAAGCTTTTCCGGTAGCGATTCCCGAGATATATATCGTAAGCCTTCGAACGGGGGATCCTGGTGAAACGCGATAGAGTATCCGAACTTTTGTTGGAAAGGTAGTTCTATTTATTCTTACAAAAATATTAACGATAAATTAATGTTGTCTTATTAATAAAACATTCTTCTAGAGCTTAAATCGAACAAAACTACACCTTTTCCAGATAACGTGTGGTGTTTTCTAGTACAGTAAACTTAACGAATTTACTATTTATAATTTGACGAATTGGCTTATCTTATGCCAATGTATTTTAGATTTATTGATAAATCTGTCAGTCACGTTTTAAGGCGTTAAAAAGCATCATTATTATATTTTTATATCAAAGTGAAAATCATCCTTGCTAGTCAATAATCCTATGCTAACGTTTAATGTGATAGTATATACCTTTTGAATGTTGAAAGTTACTTAGGACTGTCTCACTATTTTGTAGTTGTATAAGAATTTGTGATATGTTCCCAAAAACATCACAATTCATTTCAGATAATTCAACACACTGTTAGTAGCTTCAGTACAGGTTTTCGGGTTGTGAAAATTACTTTATGATGTAAAAAAGCTAACGAACCTACCTGAAGGTTTTATATTGGACTTGTTTAAACATATGATTTTGCACGATTCTACAATAAAGCGTACAATTTTAGGTGGCAGATATTGATCGTCGGATTCATCGTATTGAAGCTCTTATTGGTCAACCAGATACTAACAAGCTCACAGCTCTAACAGCGGATACAACCTCTCACGGTCTTTTGGAAGCTTGTTCGCGTCTGTCCGCTCGTTCCTCGTTATTTCAGCAGGGACACCTTGATATGATCGAAGCTCGTTTAGCATCACTACAAGGGAAGCTACAAGCTGCCACCGAAAAGCGAGAGGCTCTGGCGGATTACGATGCACAAAATAAAGTAGGTTGATGGTTTACATTGTTCTGCTCCTTAGTGTCACATCCTCTTAAAATATGTTGGGAGTGAGTTGTATAGGATTGTCATGGTCATTTTTAATTGCACATTTCCTAATCGGTTTTAAACTGTATCCATTGCTTTCTAAACTAATTTCTCATGGTGTCAGCAAATAATATTTTTAAAATTTACCCCCGACATTTTTTTGTAGAACAACGTAGGATTGAAGTTTTCAGCTTATTAGAATACTTTGTTGTCAGTCAACCATAGGCATCTTGAAACTGCTCTGGTTCATGTTGCCACACTAAAACCAGGTTAGTAGAATAAGATTGTCAGGATTAATACCAAAGTAGTAGTGATATCTATGGTAGCAACGAAACAGAAGCCACAGACAATCTGATCATGAAGAAACAATAAACCTAGTCAATAAAAGGCACTAAGCAATTTAGAACTTAAGACCTAAGAAAAGACACGGGTTAGATGTATCTGTGTTATTGTGACAAGATCCAAGAACTAAACTGAGTTGAGCATTCTTCCAATATTCAGAAAGCGAATAAAAGATTGTCTTATCATCCTCACACTATATTAGCATAGAGAACTACACGCAAATTATTAGGTACACCTCAGAGCAATTGACATAATATTTCCACATTACTTTCATTGTTAAACAGTATTGTATAATGCAGTTAATCTTGTATTTTTCAAACGAGGGGGATATTTTTTATCTGATATTAATTTTCCTTAACACACATATTAATGCGCTGCACTAACCATCGGATCTCAGTGTGAGCTCAAAAACCGTTTGGGTACCCAAACTGAAGAGGGTGGTTTTCCCAGGAGTCTTTGACCTCGAGGTCTAATCCACAAGGCGGTGGAGCAACGTTAGGAGGTGCAGTCGCTAACCGGGAATAGGCTTATACACCATTTGTTCCCTAGAGATCTTGGAGCCAATGTGCACGATTGGTTTTAACTCAAGGGTTACAATTCCCCTAAGTGAGTCGCCCTTACCAACAAAGTCCAAGCGCTGAATATTCGCCTTTTGACCACTCCATTTTTGTAATCAATGACCTCGGTATGAGTAGACAGTCGGTAGGCTTTCCCTGGAAGAGTGGCCATATGACAGTTTCAAGAGCGCGGACTACCCCCACTCAGCCGTACCGGGGAATTTCGATCTCAAAACTCAGCATAAAGATTTTGATCAGTTATTTCTATCAAGTTCGCCAGCAAAATTAGTGCTAAAATTCAGTTTGAAAGATTTCAAAATTAATTAGGGTTTGTAGAGACGAATTTAGTTAGTGAGTTCAAGTAACAAATATGCACATTTTTGGTATTACTCCTTATGTGATTTAGTGTATTGTTTCCTACACTACTAGCGTGTCCCCACTTTATTTAAATTTACTCTGGTAAGTTCGTCGATTAATGATTTTAAGTAAAGCTTGAAGTTTCTCATTTATTGTTGACGTAAGTATTGAATATCGACGAGTTATTTTGTTGAAGATTTCATAATTCAGATAAGTACATTTATTATTTAATTCTAGATCGCGGAACTTTACGAACTGGTAAAGAAGTGGAATGATGTAGCCGATAGTTTACCTATGATTGTCGAACGACTCAGCACTCTAAAATCATTACACGAAGAAGGTAAGCAAATCACAATGTGATATATAACCTATCTTAAAAGATCTTGTCTACCTTCTGCATTGCTTGTATCTTATTTTCTCATATATGTTATTTAAACACGAACACTGATACGAAATGCACCCCAAAATTAATGCGCCACACAAATAACTGAATCTGAATACGACAAGGCATACTCTTTGGGCGTCTACACCCGAGGTGAATTTCTTGGGAGGTCACATCCTGGGCCTTTAACCTAGGAGTCTAAAACAAAAGGCACCGAGGCAGCGTCAGGCGATAAAGTACCATGATGGCCACTGACCGACAGTAGGTCCAAACACCATTTCTTCCATCCTCCAATTCTACAGACGATATTAGTTGTATCCCTCGACCTTAAGGTAGCATTTAACTCTGTGGTAAGGTTCTATGACATTATCTGTCATTGAAAGTAATACAACCTTGTACAGGCTCTCTACTTAAGCACAACTGGTCGAGTCAGAGGTTATGGGGAACTATCATCCAAACTGGTTACCTCAAGTAGTGTTCATCAGGGCTGTCCACTATCTTCATCCTTATTCAACTATGTCATCGACTTGCTTTCACAGACGATATTTTCATCGTCTGACTTTTCAGTAATTGAAATTTAACCTTGAGATTCACTTGTTGACATAATTCTGTTTGGTGAAGACGCTGATAAAGTAGTCTTTTGACCACCCTAAGCAACAGTGCAAGCATATTCGGGATGCGATTCTCCCCGTCGAAATGCAAAATAAAGCTTCAGGATTGGGTTGCATCGGTAGCTGAACTAGTGATATAGATTGAAGTAGTAGGGTGTGTCAAGCGCCCCATTCATCTTAGGAGTCCCATCAGCCCTGATGACCTGTTCTGTGACAAAATCTCAGCACGGATACAGAGGACTCGATTGACTTCTGCCAACCTCAGTCACTTATGGCGTAGGCGAGATATCCTCCTGCTAACCAAAGGACGAATTTACTATACAGCAGTTTACTCCGTTCTAGTTTATGGGTGTGAAATATGGCCATTAATAATAGAGGATATTCGGTTATTGGTTTCCGATCATAGGTGTCTTCAAATCACTGCACTTGGAATCCTCCAGGCCAAATAAGAAGAGGAAGATCAAGGAACACATTCTGCCGCGAATCGGATACAGACATGAAAAGAATGAACAGCTATTGGATAGAACAGGGAAAAAAGGCCCAGGACAGAGTAGGTTGGAGAATGCTGGTCGACGACTTAAGTAATTAAGCAGGTTTTATTCGATCGTAGGTGTCTTCGAAGCATTGCGCGTATATCCTGGGCCTGTTGAGTAAGAGATTCTGGGGTTAAGAAGAAAGGCATTAGGTAAAGATGGCAAATCAGTTGATGCAGTAAATCTTGATCAGTTAAAGTGGTTGGGACGTATTCCCAATCGCTGACTACCTTGACGAGCTATGCTGTCCAGTGCAGGAGTGTGCTGGAGGAGAGCTAGGGTCGGCCGAGTCAAAACATGATACAAATCCATGAAGCTATTGACAAATGGACTGATCCATGTTAATTGATGTAGATTACCTGGTTGCAACCCACGAGACAATCGTAACCGGTGGTCGGAGACTTTGAATTACTACATCTCGGCCAAATGACTGACTGATTACGAGTTTAAGTTTCATCCAACCAATTCATTTTTGTACGAATACAGAAATATAAGTGCATCATTGGACCCCTTGTTATTACCTAATTGATACTACTCTCGATAATGAATAGAATTTATTGATTATTTTAAACCTGGATATGTACCTATCTTTTTAATTTCTAACCGGTAAAACAAGCTTCTAGAAGTGCAGATAAATCGGATCATTTAACGACTGGTGGAGTCCTATCGAGCTATCATATTATTCAGCATATTGTCAAATTTAGAGCAGTTGAGATGTCAAGTTAATAGGACCTCATCCGAGCAAACTGCGCAGAGAATAAGTAAATCAATTTGTTGAAGCGAAGCGGTGACTTGACTGGTAAACGATTCTTCACCTGATAAACTTTTGATTGTAAATTTGAGACGCTCTTCTGTTTTTTTTGGCAGTTGAATAGTGTTACCAACCGTCATAAAACGGTAGTTTAGCTTAATGCTAAAAGCATACAACTATACTGCACCAATGGGTCACACTATTCTTTATTGAGTGAATACACTAAACGCTGTTCTTCACGTAAAAGAATCACCTAACGAGTAACATTTGAGCAGGTTTTCTTACTGACTTTTGACCTAGTAAGACTATAATTCAAAACTATAGATACTTCTATTGACTCTGCTAGCTAAGTCCATTATACTGTTTTAAACTGAGAAAGTGATAACAGAAGGAAGTCCCACATTTATTTAAGCACTAATAATTGATAATCTTATAATTTTAGCTTCTCAATTCAGTCAATCTCTGTGTGCAATAGAATCAAGTCAAAAAAATGTGGAAGGAAGTTTATCCTCATATACTAAGCTTCTGGAAGAGGTAAGCCTCATCCTGTGTTAGTTTCATTTTATTCCAGGTACAAAGCAATGTTATCAAGAATATGGAGGTTATAAAGGACAACTTTACCACTATAGAATCACTTTTCGCAGTCCGTTCTAAATGAATATTTAACTGCGTATACTCCCTACTAAAAACACTTTCCACTTCATTCGGTCTTACATTTAAAACGATCTTCTTCTCGTAATGTTTTATTGACAGCAATTGGTTTGTGGTTTCTAATAATTTTCATTATAAATTAAAATCTTATTTTGTTCTCATGCAGTTTGTTTTGAGATGGCTTGATCAATCGGAAATAGGATGATCGGAATACATAACGCTGTCAACCATGTTAAGATTTGAACTCATAATAAATGTCTTAGTGATAACTAACTGCTGATCTAGAAAACAATGAACTCTCTCGTTCTCAAAAATAAGGCTGTCTGTGGTCGTAGAAACGATTTGTGTTAACATGCATACTTCGGAAAGAAACTGGCGCCTCAATGGGTATATTCCGTTTACCTAAATTAGCATACGTTTACGATTTTAAATTAGAAATTTTAATATGTGCTAACGACGAACTTCAACTGAAACAAACAGTAAGCTCAACCATTTACCAATGAGAAGATTCATCTTTGTTTTTTTAAACAAGAAGTCATTACAAGGATGGTTTAAAAATGAAACTAATGGTTGGTAATCATTATATTTGGTGACAGTAAAATTGAGGTAAACAAGTTGTCAATAACATTTTCCTGGTTTCAAGCTAACGAACTACCAAGCATGGGGCCACAAGCGTTTTTCTCTATCAATAAGTCTCTTGAATATGAGCGCCCGCCCTTCAGGAGTGGACAACCTAACTGATTCTGACATTTTATTTTCTCGACGGGAAAGCAGTATGGTGTACAGCTTCCTGCGAGCGAACGTTGTCGGCGCTAATCTGTTGTGGATGGCTCGCATCATCAATTCATACGATTTAGGGAGGCGATTGTTTCGATTATTTGGTCCCACTTCTTTCGATGTCTAAATATAAATAAAAATTAACTAATATGTTTTGAATAAATGACAAGCAATTTTATTGATTACCGTACCTAACTTATCGACAATTACTAATTTCTCAGTACTAAGGGTAAGTCCAAACACAGGGTCCTGCCAGTATTTTGAAATTGGACGACGCAGTGTTATAATGTTGCTACGTATAGCTATTCAGTCCTAGCGGCGTCCAAATTCAAATATCCCAGTACGACCCAAATACTATTTCAAAATCTATATATCAGAACGCAACACCGTTGGACGGAGTTGTTTATTGGGTCGATTACAGAAGGGAGGTAGGCAGGAAGAAACGGAATCCAAATCATGAAATCTTACAGATAGTGCGTATTTATACATTTGGGTCGACTAGGAAAGAGCATCAGTCTGTGACATTGACAGTTTAGGACGAACAATAAGAAGGAACATTTGAAATGACACTGACAGTCCGGATGACCAATGAGAGACAACATTGAAGCATTTGACTTTGACAGTTAAAACGATCATAATTTTGACCAATAGTATTATACTTCCAAAAATAGTACTATTAAGACATTTGGGGAATATCCTAACACAAAGCAGATCCATTTCTACGGACGTTGATTGCCAACTTAGTAAGTAGGATTAATACGGCTTGAGTATCATCGCACAGTAAGTACAAGCGAGTATCAAATCCTCCGAAAAACATGGAAACTAGCATAACACCATTGGACTTGGTATGGACACCAATACATCCTCCAAAACATGTATAAGCCATCAACGACGATTTCTTAGGTTTACATAAGCCTTGGTCATTCGCATATTATTCTATGAAAGAACTATCCGGATGTAAGTCTACTTTTGATCGTTGGACGAATAACAGCCTGATTTTTGCTATCGTTTATGGTGTATTGAACTCCGCCAGTAGAACCTTCGGGGCTACTGCCGGTCCCAAGCCCGGGTAAAGGAGGAGGGTTGGACATGAGGTTGGCAACCCCATTCCGTCGAAATCTAACTTGCCAAAAAAACGCTAACCAAAACATTATAACTCTGCCCTGGGAGTTGGAAGAAGAATTATGACGTCGCGTGATGAAAGCCGAGTTCCCTCGGAAGTCACGGGGCCAATGCCTCTTCTGACAACCAGAGCAACCATTCTTTTAGGTACATGGAACGTTCAAACATTGTGAGAGGCTGGAAGACTATTTCAATTTGCGGCAGAAATAAAAAAATACAACCTCGGGGTACTCGGCATCAGTGAAACACATTGGACACAGGTAGGACAACTGAGACTTTTTTCAGGGGAACTGCTGTTATACTCTGGTCATGAAGAGGAAAATGCTTCACATACACAAGGAGTTGCACTGATGCTGTCCACACAAGCACAAAAGGCACTAATAGGATTGGAATCTCATGGACCCAGGATCATTAAAGCATCGCTCAAAAGAAAGAAAGCGGACATTACAATGAACGTCATCCAATGCTATGCACCTACCAACGACTACAATGACGACGATAAAGGTCAATTCAACGAAAGGCTGAAGTCAATCGTCGACAGATGCTCACCAAAGGATTTGACGATGCTAATAGGAGACCTAAATGCCAAGGTTGGTATGGACAACACCGGATATGAAGACATCATGGGACGACATGGACTGGGAGAAAGAAACGAAAATGGTGAGAGATTTGCAAACCTATGTGCCTTCAACAAACTGGTCATCGGTGGCACAATATTCTCACACAAACGCATTCACAAAGCCACATGGATTTCACCGGACCACACTACTCAAAACCAAATTGACCATATCTGTATCAACAAAAAGTTCAGAAGGACCATGGAAGATGTGAAAATCAAGAGAGGAGCTGATATAGCCTCAGATCACAATTTGCTGATCGCCAAAATGAAACTGAAGCTAAAGAAGCACTGGACAACGGGGCAGACAACATCACAGAAGTTTAATACGGCCTTTCTTCGGGATACCGTAAAACTCAACGAATTCAAGATAGCCCTCACCAATAGGTTCCAGGCCTTTCAGGATCTACTCAATGGAGAGCAAACAACTATAGAGAATAATTGGAAAGGGATCAAGGAGACAATTACTTCAACATGGCACGAAGTTCTTGGTCACAAGAAGTATCATCACAAGGAATGGATCTCTGTTGATACTCTTGCAAAAATTGAAGAAAGGAGGAACAAGAAGGCAGCAATCAATGTCAGCCGAACAAGAGCGGAGAAAGTTACCGCACAAGCTGCATACACAAAAGCAAACAGGGAAGTGAAGAAGAGCATCAGAGCTGACAAACGAAAATATGTGAAAGATCTAGCAATGGCGGCGGAAAAGGCTGCAAGAGAAGGAAACATGAGACAATTGTACGAAACAACAAAGAAGCTCGCCGGAAACTATCGTAAACCAGAACGACCAGTGAAAAGTAAGGAAGGCAAAGTAATCAGCAACACTGAAGAACAGCGAAATAGGTGGTTAGAGCACTTTCAAGAACCCTTGAATCGACCAGCTCCACTGAACACACACAACATCGACGCAGCATCCATGGACCTCCCAATTAATATTGGCGCACCTACAAGTGAGGAGATCAGTGTGGCCATCAGACAAATCAAGAACGGCAAATCAGCAGGACCAGACAACATTCCAGCAGAGGCAATGAAAGCAGATGTAGAAGCAACCACGAAAATATTTCACATCCTCTTCAAGAAGATTTGGGATGAGGAACAAGTACCATCAGATTGGAAATAAGGATACCTGATCAAAATACCACAGAAAGGCGATCTCAGCAAGTGTGAGAGGCATCACTGTTCTTTCAATACCAGGCAAACTCTTCAACAGGGTATTGTTAAACAGAATGAAGGACTTCGTAGACGCCTAACTTCGAGATCAACAGGCCGGATTCCGTAAGGATCGTCCCTGTATTGTACGGATCATTGTGGAACAATCAATTCAATGGCATTCACCACTCTACATCAACTTCATCGACTACGAGAAAGCATTCGATAGCGTGGATAGGAAAACACTGTGGAGGCTTCTTCGACACTACGGTGTGCCTGAGAAAATAGTTAACATCATACGGAATTCTTATAATGGATTCAACTGCAAAATCGTGTACGGAGGACATCTAACAGACTCTTTCGAGTAGAAGACCGGTGTCAGGCAAGGTTGCTTACTCTCACCCTTTCTCTTTCTCCTGGTCATCGACTGGATTATGAAAACGTCGACATCTGGAAGGAAGCACGGTATCAACTGGACAGCTAGGACGATCTGGACTTTGCAGATGACTTGGCTCTTCTAGCGCACACGCAACAACAAATGCAAAGGAAGACAACCAGTGTAGCAGCAGTCTCTGCAGCAGTAGGTCTCAAAATACATAAAGGAAAAAGCAAAATTCTCCGATGCAACACAACATGCACCAACCAAATCACTCTTGATGGAGATGCCTTGGAGGACGTTACCACCTTTACATATCTGGGCGCAGCATCATCGACAACCAAGGTGGATCCGATGCAGATGTGAGGGCACGGGTTGGCAAAGCGAGGGCTGCATTTCTACAGTTGAAAAATATATGGAACTCCAAACAATTTTCAACCAAAACCAAAATCAGGATATTCAATACAAATGTCAAGACAGTTCTACTGTATGGAGCGGAAACTTGAAGAACTACGAAAGGCATCATCCAGAAGATACAAGTGTTTATTAACAGCTGTCTACGCAAAATACTTCGTATTCGTTGGCCAGACACCATCAGCAACAACGAACTGTGGGAGAGAACAAACCAGATTCCAGTGGAGGAGGAAATTAGGAAGAAGCGGTGGAAGTGGATAGGACACAGGCGAAAGTAAGTTATGGTGTATTGACCATATCCTCACCGTTCGCCGAATGTCCCGACCGTAATATGCGAATAACCAAAACTTATGTAAACCTAAGAAATCGTCGTTAATGGCTTACACAGGTTTTGGAGGATGTATTGGTGTCCATACCAAGTCCAATGGTGTTATGCTAGTTTCCATGTTTTTCGGAGGATTTGATACTCGCTTGTACTTACTGTGCGATGATACTCAAGCCGTATTAATCCTACTTACTAAGTTGGCAATCAACGTCCGTAGAAATGGATCTGCTTTGTATCGTCCAATTCCAAAGTACATTCAAAAGACTGGCAGGAACCGTACCGAAATAACAAGAGTCGAGCACAAAGAAATCGACTGGTTTATACTATACTATCTCGTGTCAAAGATTGTGGAAAGTAGTTGACACTTTCATCATCTGACTTTTCAGCAATTTAAATTTAACCAGGAGATTTACTTGTTGACTTAGCATGTGTAGACGCTGGTAAAATACAGTCTTTTGACCACCCTAAGCATGTTCGGGATGCGATTATGCCCGTCGAAATGCAAAATAAAGTTTCAGGATTGGGTTGCATCGATAGCTGAACTAGTGATAGGGAGTGAAGTAGTTTGGTGTGTCGAGCGCTCCACTCATCATCAGCCCTGATGACCTATTGTGTGATGAAATTTCAACACGGATACAGAGGACTCGATTGACTTTTGCCAGCCTGAGTTGTTTATGGCGTAGGTGAGATATCCGTCTGCTAATCAAACGACGAGTTTACCGGCCAGTCTATTTAAAAACAAGATTTCGAAGGATAAACTCTGAGTAATAAAACAAATTTACTGAAGCTTACCTGTGGTTCAAAGTGTTTAATTAAGTTGAAACTACGACAACTAAATGCCCTACTCAATTTAGGGTACATCAGATTACACAATGTACTGAGCATCTGTGCATATGCGGGACCAAGTTATTGGGATTAAATCTTAAAAGTAGGAAATAGTTAAGTAAAACAATATTGTACGTACAACCCTGGTTTACGAAACAGTAATTCAAAACTGATATGAAGTCAGTGAAAAAAGCCTTTAAATTAAGTACAGATGTTCGAGCCTAAAAATCAGCATTTTTACTATATGTATTAGCAAAGATATATCAATAGATTGCAAGGCAATAAAAACTATAAATAGCATGATTTGAACATCCACAGGGAAATTCCTTGACAAGACAGTTAACGAATGAGGTAACAATTTGTTTTTCAGTATCCGGACGTTTAAACTTCTTTTGAAGATAGTTTACAATCTGCTTTACTACTTCGTTTGACTAAGTTAATCAGTTACAATGTAGAACTTCGTTGACTAAGGCACAGAAAAAACACAAAATCTTCCCCGATAGGATGTTTGGAGTCTCGGGAAATGTTTTTTGCGGTTTATTACAAATAATTTTTTAAATATTTAGTCCTTTAACCTCCAGGATCAGGCTATTGGTTTCTTATACTCCCATTTTTGTAAGTAAGGCCTTCTCCGCCTATGTTCTCTTTCAGTAGTGCTTCTCTCCATCTGCAAAATATTGCCTTAAATCCGATCTGGATAATCACCTAAATTGGTCGTAGGAAGTGGAGTGGCTGTGTGTATCCACTACTTCACTTGTCCTGAAAGCCTTATCAACCCTCGTGGGTTGGTATTTAGTGAAATCCTAGCACGGAGTTGGAAAGCTCGTTTGGCGTTCATCAACTTACATTACCTGTGGGGTGGGTGAAACGTGTCAGTCAACTAAATGACGAGTACACTGCTCAACAGTTTGCGCCTTGTTACTTGACTGCTGTAAAACCTGGTAGGTTTGGCTTTGACAACATACATTTTTCGAGATGTTTCTCGAGAAGCGAATGAGTGGGCAGTGCTATAATTACACATAGGGCGTTAAGGGAATTGAGCAAATCTGTTATGGGTCTTGATTGACTGAAGTGGCTGGTCTATATATTACGTATCCTCAGCTACCACCCACCTCGATAGACGAAAACCTGATGCAGAATTGGTGAGAAAAAGCTAGAGATGACCAAACTAAGACTTGGTATTCGTTGATTGAGTCACTGTTAGTCTGTACCATGTTGGTGTTGGTAGATATAGACCACTTGGTTGGAGTACACGTTAAAATTATTTGTCAGAGACAATAGGTAACACGGATCAGAAGCCGCTACTACGTTTCGAATACATTCAAGTTTTAGTTTCAGCACTCTATTATACATATATTTTTATTTCGTCCTTTCATAAAATAACCTTTATGGTTATTCATTCACATCATCATTGGGACAACAACTATTTCGACTATTTGCTATTCATCTTGTTAGCGTTATTTTGTCTCGCTACTGTGGTTTGACATCTGGTGGGAAGCACAAGATACATTGGACAGTTAGGATGCGGCTTGACGATGCAGAGTTCGCAGATGATCTAGCTGTCGAATAACATCTGGAACTCTAAACACCAAAGTCAGAATTTTCAATACAAATGTAAAGACAGTTCTACTATATGGATATGTAGTAGATAAATTTATTTCATTCGGTCATACTTCTCAAATCAGATCTTCGATTTCTAATCTTTTCCATTATCGCTAATACTGCTAAAACCTTTACTACGATTGGATTTGTATTGACAACTCCATCTCTTTGTGCTGCTGTTGTATAGCAACTTGAACGTACGTACGTACGTATGTATGTAGGAAGTTCTGCATTGCGGTCGATTGACTAGCTGAAGGTTAGATATGACATTTATAGAGTCGACTATTTCTTAACTTTTACTTTCGTAATGAGAAAGCAGAGTCGCTGCTGATAGGACGCATAAGAACTTATGTTTCAACCAATATAGCTCGACGGAATCATCACGACTGGCCAGCACGACCACTACATTAAGGTAGCAGTGCTACAGTTGGAGTCGACATCATTGCTCCACATGAAACGCAAGTACTCCGTTATTGCCTTCTGTATTAAGAGATGTAAATCGAAGTACACTAGTATTCATGAGCTTAACATAACTAAATGAATAGAGAAACGTAGAAGCTAATTATATAAACAAAACGATGAAGTATACGTTAATACAACTGTTCATTTATATGTAATACTCCTTTAGCAGTGTCATGGTTACTATGTTGTTAACACCGCCTTACGATATATGGAAGTTTACTTATAACAAAATCGACAGTGAGCTGGGTAAGAGCGTCACACAATGATGACTTACCCGAGAACTAGGGAACGCTGCGTAGTTTCAAAACAATTAGTTGCAAACAGTAAGAAAAATGAGTGTGCGGTAACAGCTTTGGCTTGAATAATTAGTCCCTACATTTGAAAGTATCCCGTGTAGTAATGACGAGTTAGGTATTCATACTAGGAGTCAAGTTAGGGTTTCGTCAAGGTTATCACACCACGGGATCTCCGTAATCAAGTAAGACTTACAGATAATGCTTATAGACTGATGTCACGGTTTTTATCATGAATAAAAATCAATAATGCTCCAAAGAATCAGAGTACGTTTAGTGTAAGTCAAAAATTTAACGTAAATGCAGTGCAGAAGTCCTACATTCAGCTACAGTTGAAGATTCAAAGCGACTTAAAAGGGAAAAATGTAGCACTATTTACTCACGCCAGGGGAAAATAAGACTTCCTGGTGCGTGTTCACTTTTACTTTACCTTTCTTCAGTGATATAATGTCCTCTTCATTAACCAGTTGTTAGCATTTATTTCCCCTTTTCGTAACTCGGGTCGCTAAAATTATACATAAACATGAAATTTGAGTCGAGTAACACTGGAGTAGGAGAAAATGAATTTCAAAATGCCTTAGTACTGTGTATGATAAACAGATCAATACTGTAAATTAAGCCTTTGATAAGTTTGAGTTTATTCTGATGGTACCGATTGTGCTAGGGGGATAAGGAGTAGAAAGTGAGGTTATTTGTAAATGAGAAGGTCGAAAAAAGTGAGCCAGCAATTAAGCAGGCACATAGAAAGCACTCACCTTGAATTATTAAAGCGATCGACAGCAACTAGAAATAACAAGCATGCTATTAAGGCTGACTGGAGATCCAAGGTCGAAGTTGGTTGCGCAAATTTAGAATGCTCTCGATATTCAATACCTATTTCACGAGCGTCCGTCAGTTCGGTGGATGCTACTTGGATCCCCGAGTTCTACCTAGACTTATGGTTTACCTTGCTAGCAGATATCAATGCTGTTTCAACAGCTTTTTGGATACCATTCAATGCTACCTCCGAATGGGAATCACTTAAATGGCCGCCTAACTGTCTTTATAGTTGTTCCTGAAGTATATTCATATCTCTGCTACCATAGGTAAAGCCCTAAGAGCTTTCCCTGCAGTGTCTTTCCTACGTCCGTTCAGTCGCAAACGATCACGCGCTCGCACTAGTGCATGGTCTGAATCTAGATATGTGCCCCAGTACGAGCGACACTCCTCCATCGGTGAATGGCGGCAATGTGACCTAGATGGGTCCAACGTTGAGACGACTTTGGGGGCCGCTAGGTCAAAAGATGTTTTTCCTTATGACTAATGTTAGTGTTTGCTAGAAATAGACGGTTATCTAAGCACAGTAGCAACAGACGGTCGCTATTATCTGTTCTCTTAACCGCGACACCATAAGATCCACCCAGGTGTCTTTCTTTCTCACTGAGTCTACCTACTTGAGCATGAAAGTAGTCATCTATTTTAACTACATCAGAGTACCTAGCTTTTTGGAGTAGGTCCGAAAGCTTTCTGTAGAACTCATCATTCACATCGTCTGAACTGCAGTGAGTGGGAGCGTAGGTAAATACGACGATCAGGCAACGTCGAGTATCCCTATCTTTCAGATTCTTTACTCTCCCGTTTAGTCGGTCAGCGCACAGTCAGTCAGTCAGATGCAACGTAGAACTTTGTACATAAGTACATCAGTTCAGGTTGCCATACCACATCAGCACAGAGAAGTAATCGTCAATGCAAATCCAATAGTAGAAGAGGTAGTAAGGGAATTATAAGTAATCGGAGAGGTTAAGATTAGAAGATACTATTCAAGAAGTATGATTCAGTGAGTAAAGTTTAGAGAGTCGAAACTAGGGGTGTTGAAGAATCCAGAAGATTAGGGTTTGAGAGAACACAGAGAATAAATGCACCGGCGCCATTGCGAACGATTTTGAGCCATGTCATTCAAGGTCTCTAACCATCGATTATTATCATCTCGCGGACCCAACCAGGTAGTCAACAATTACCGACGTGGCTCAGTCACCTAGTCAATGACTTCATGGATTTATGCCATGTTTTGGCTTGGCACCCCCTAACTTTCTTCCAACCTATTCCTACACTACAAAACAAAGTTCATCGAGGCAGTCGGTGGTTCGGCATACGCAGCACATGTCCCAACCACCTCAACTGATGAAGTTTCACCACTTCGTCTACTGATCTGCCATCCTTACCTAGTACTCGTTTCCTAACGACAGCATTGCTCACTCGGTTGTCCCACGGTATACAAGCAATGCTTCGAAGACACCTATGATCGAAAACCAGTAACCTACGAATATCTTCTACTCTCACTGGCCATGTTTCACAGCTATATAGGAGAACGGAGCGAACTGCTGCACAGTACACTCGTCCTTTAATTAGAGAACGGATATCTCGCCTGCGCCATAAGTGATGCAGGTTGGCAAAAGCCAATCGAGCCTTCTGTACCCGAACTGAGATTTCGTCAGTCACCAGGCCATCAGCACTGATGAGACTCCCAAGATAAATGAAGCGGTCTACACGTTCGACTACTTCACTCCCTATCGCTAGTTCAGGTGCCGATGAAACCCAGTCTTGAAGCAACATTTTGCATTTCGAGGGGGAAAACCGCATCCCGAACATACTCGCATTGTTGCTTAGGGTAGTCAGATGACTCTGCATTTCGTCAGCATCTTCACCAAGTAGGACAATGTCATCGGCATATTCTAAGTCAATAAGCGAGTCACCTGGTAG